CTTTGTCTTGAAGAGTACCTCAAATCAATGGCATACGTTTTGGAACTTGTGGTATGTTTAAAGGAGCTGCAATTTATTTTACGTTTGGGGCTTATTTTACGTTTTGAATTATAGGGGTGGGTGGGGAGATCTAAGGAGGACTTTACAAGTAGATTTTACATGGACAGTTACAAGGAGTACTGAAGTGCCAGGCTATGAACCGAATGATCATGAATTCCTTGTCCCGGTGGGACTGAGTTTTGGGATATCAGCCTGGGTGATAGATGGAGCTCCATGCTGTTTTGGCAGACTAAAGGAAAAAAAATACCAATTGCTAGGAATCCTGTGGGGGTGGTGAGGGTGGGGGGGAGGGGAGAATCTGAGTGACCACAAATAAATATTTTTAAAAAAACCTCAGGCAGCACAGGCTGACGTGTGTTCAAAGATTCAGTTTGATACCCTGAGGTTAGGTGAATCGCAGATTGCTCTACTTAAGAAAATAAGTCACGGGGTGGGGGGAAGGGGGGGGCTTCTAATTAACTAACCTGGCAACAGTAATAACAGGTTACTCTTATATATAGCATCTTTCTCACAGGAATAATGTCTCCAAGTAATTTACTATGACTGAGTGGAAGGGCGATGGGGGAAAAAAAAAGTGCCAGTGTTGTGGCAGAGAAGGTACAGGGCATGAAGCAGGCTGGATTTGGTAGAGTGGCCAGAGGAAAATAGAGCTGCATGAGATTGCAGATTTAGGGTTTGGCATGGCTGTGGAGGCATTTAAAGGCAAGAATGAAGAGCAAGCAAATATTGGGAGTGGTCAGTAAACCTATAAATTAATGACCTCTTTATGCACTTATAAATGTAACCACCGAGTGGAGAACAACGTGCCTGTCAGCAAGGTTTGTAAATTTATTGACAAGTGGAGAATAAATAAAGGCTTAATAAATACAAAGAGATTGTCTGTTGTTTTCTATTTGTCCACATAAAACTTGTATTTTCTTTTTGGTTCCTTTATTTCATCTCTCCTCACACTGCAGTTCTACCTAGTCTGAGTAACTACAAGAGGGTTTTTGTTTCACAAATTAAGATTGCAGGTTTTGCGCAGAATTATGGAAAATTCTTAAATCCAACCTTGATCTAGAAGCAGTTTCCCCATGGATCTTAAAAAGACGCAGCTTTCAATTTCACACCGAATCAACACTCTGAGACATTGTCCTATATGAAGTTGTTGTGGTTGGTTGAATTTAAGATTTTTTTCTTAATTGGGGTCAATTTTGCGATATTTCTGAACAGATTTCTTAATTGAGAAATTAATTCTTAATTGAGTGGGGACTCCTTATGGTACCTGGAAGTTCATTACCCACATCACTCCGACTCGAAGGAACCCTGCTCCAGAAATAGATCAAGTTGGAGTTACGGCTTCCAGATTTCTTAAATAAGAAATAGGACAATACTGCAAAAAAAAAACCTGGTTCGAATACGTGTGCTTAACTATTCAAAAAGGACTTTTAAATTCAGTCCGGATCAGATAATTGTAAGTTTCAGAATATAGCAGCTGGTAATATGAGATAAGCTTTAAAGAAAAAAATAATGCCCCACGGTTACATTTTTAAAAAAAAATACCGTCAACTTCTCGCAACCACCTAAGCACAGTTCCCGCGAGCAGAATTTATCCATCTCTCTGATCCTGCAAAATGCGCCTGTTTACTTATGAGTTTTCTGGGTTTGTGCCTACAAGGATAACAATCGCCTATGACTAATTGTTCGGATTACTAGACATTACACAGTCATGCGCCATGCTGCCAAACTCTTGTTATTGTTACTAAAAGATAAGAAGCTAACGGACCTTGACAAAGTTTAAAATATACTTGCATTAATATAAAAAATTGATGCAGCTGCCTGTAAAATTAGTTAGTTATTAAATCAGAAGCACGGGTACTTAACAAGTACATTACTCATTTAAATACACCAGTCAATTCCTTTTACTTTCTTTTAAAAAAGAAACAAAATCACAGCTGCAGACTTCAGTTGAACTGTCGTTTGTAAAACAATCCCAAACGGCTTCACTTTTTCTGTTCTGTCCTACAATGAGTTCCTCTCACTGACTTTACTTTTCTCTGGCTCATGTAGATGTAAGCTGTACTTTCTGCACGTACTGGGTCTCAATCACTGATCACTGGTTATTGAGCTGCTGTTTGTATGACAAATAGGAAGTAGAGATTGGCTCTCCCTGAGAATTACCTTCTTTGTCCTAAAATGAGGACTGAGAGTTTTGCTTTGATGTTGGAACCTTTGGATTTGTTTTCTCTCCACAGATTTCCGAATCCAGGCTTTTTTAAAAATATATAATCACAGACATTTGTGTTTCAACAGTGACATATCAGCCGGTGTGTACTGTTCAGTTTCCTCCACATAATTATCGAAGTAACTCCTTAACTCGGACTACCTGTTAAATAGGGTACTAAATGTCCATCGAATTCACATTCAAATTTGGTAAGACTGAAATGTACTTGCACCTCTTTGATGGTAAGTGACAAAGAATCAAAAAAACATCTGCCTGATTTATTATGACCGCAATAATACTCATTTGTCACATCCACCCTTTGTAGAATTACAGACAGCGAAGCTGTCCTACAGGGAACTAAAACGCTTTACAAAAGCCCTTTTAGTCGCTTGTAAATCAGTTATCCGCAGTCAGTGATTCTACAAGTTCTGCTAGTGCGAGGCTATGTATCTTTGATTTGCATTGAGAACTCAAATCTCTATGGATCTGCATGGGATTTTCTCCCTCTGTGACACAGCCCCCTCCTCTCGAAAATTAAAATCCCTGCAGTTACTGTGGGTCTGTTGAATACCTTTCATATATAGAATTGTTTAGATATTCGCAGATGTTATCACCCTTAGTTCTAAAGCAAATTTGGGAATTCATTTCTTTCCTAGTTAGTGGATGCGTTTTTATTTCCAGTTATTGGCAAGTCAGGATCTTATTATACTTTGGCTAAACTCTTGGGTCCTGCCCTTTACCTAGGATCTTCAGATAGCGACCATCTTCCCCCACAGTTCATGTCACGCAGCCTCGATCCTTACCCCCTAGGTTATAAACTCCTGCCCTGAAATCACACTAGCTAGATAGAAGACAGATAAAATAATCCAATTTAAAGTCCATTTCACTAATCATATACCTGCCAAGGGGCATTTCTCATTCTTGAGCAAACACTCTCTCTCCGTTTCTCATAAAATCTACTGTAATGGCGACTTCTTTTTTGAAGCAGGTTTAAGCAGTAGATTTGTGCCTGCCATCTGCTCTTTGCAAATGCTAATCTGATTGATCAAAATGTCAAAATGTCTATTTTAGGAGGCCAGTCTGAGATCTCATTATTCACAACCTACTAGCCTGCCAAGTGTAAATGCCACAATTCTAATGGCTCCATTTTCATTTTTGCGCAAATGCCTGTGCCCAGGGCACCATTGCCTCTAAGCACCACATATCTATGCTCCAGTAGTGCACACAGGGTGCAGAGAGACACTGAAACTGCTTGTCAATGACATTTAAGCACAGCATTTAAATGTAGCAGAAGTTGTCTTCCTTTTATTGCTTTGCTTTGTGGGAGGAACCTTAAATCATTGATTGACCATCACTGTGGATATTCAATACTAATAATCCCTGCATTTGGTATAATGCCTTTTACATCAGGAGGATGTCTCAAAGCGCTTCACAGGATTCACTGTAATTGTAGTGACTGTATTTGTAGGCAAACACTGCAGCCCATTTGCACACTGCAATGTCCCACAAGTGGCCATGAAATGAATGACCAATTTTATTGGGGGGGAGGGGGGTTGACAGGAGAGAATTGATGCCCAGGACACCAGAAGAAACTCACATCTCTTTTGAGTAGTGCCTTGGGATCTTTAATGTGTACCTGAACAGGTAGATAGGTATACTGTTTAACATCTCATCTGAAGGATGGCACTCCAACAATACAACACACCACCAACAAATATTTATCATCTTTTGAATACCTTTTAGAAAGTTTTGTCTCAGTCTTCTCTCCAGAAAGCACCGTTACTTGACTCTATTATCTTATCTAGTTACCTAAGTGATCAGCATCTGACTAAAGTGACATATCAGCTATTGTGATACTCGATTCCTCTACAACACCATTAATTAAACTACCATTTCAAGTATTCCATTTATTTTTGCATTCCACAGTATCCCTGGTTATTTGTGGTATCAAAGATTGAAAATTGACGTGATAATTATTATGGCTAATAATTGTCACATCACCCAAGTATCAACTGGCGGCTAAACTGTTCGAGTGTAATTGTTAATGAGGCATCTCCGTTGTCAAAAAACATTGGGGCACCATTTAGTTTAGTGATGGAAAAGGGCAGTTTCATAAAACCGTAGAAATATAGGCACAGACGGAGGCCTTTTAGCCCATTGCATCTGTACTTTGCTTTCAAAACAAAATTCCAGTTGTACAGTTTGAGGTTATGCTCTATAATGTCTGTAAACATATGTCAGTCTTCTCTATCTCTAGTGCACATTTTTGATGGTTTTATATTTACGCATTTATAAGAGGAACAGCAAACAATTCAAACTCCCACTCCATTAGGAGCATCCCTGGAATCATCGATTTGTGTTTCACTTCATTTAAATTCTCCCTGCTGAGCCGGACAGATTAGAGAGGCCCCAGGGTCAATCCCTGGCCTGTACTGAGATGGCTTATTTTAGCTGAGGGGAGGTAGAGATGCTTATAATTGGTCTCAACATCCAAGGTAAGAAGGGACAAAACAGTCAAAGTTACCCTCAATTGTGTTCTACCCTATAATCCTTGCTGGAAGTGCAAAGGTGAGGACAGTATCAGGCTTGGCTACACTGCCTCCCACAGTTGGATAGCCCAGTGACACTCACTGTCGAGGCTAACAGATGAAAAATGGTTACTTGGTCAATTTGCTTAGAGAGTGACCTTGTGCCTGTAGAACAGTACCTCACTAACAGTCAAACACACTGTACTCACCCATCACAAGCAGCTCCATTCTTTGTTCGCTATTACCCACAATGTCATCTGAAGTGATAACTGAGCAGTAATAAACTCCACTGTCACCCCAATATAACCTCCCAATCTGGAGATCTGCATCTGAAAGAAATCAAGCGATGAAAGGTCACTGACCTGGACAAAGCCCAAATTTCCTTGAGATCTAAGAGTCTGTGGTAGGGTCATATCATACTGTATTTCTTAATTGTTAGTAACAAATAAAAAAAACACATCTGCCTTACTGTTGCTGATGGTAATCTCCCGTCCCTTGTAATATTCTCCTAAGGTGACTGCAGAACCCTGACTTGAGGCCACAACTCTGACAGTTCGACTGTTGTCAGCGCAGTCCAGGTACGGATCCCAGTTGAGGTTCTTTGGGTTCTGCGGATCGAACACGTGTGTGGCTATGCTCTGGATACGGAAGGCATCTTTGGTGCGGTCCTGGCAGTAAGACTTGAAACGCCACTGTACCACTGGCTTCTGGTTAGAGGTAGTGGTGTACTTGCACTGCAGGACAACAGGCTGGAACAGCATGGCTACCTTCTTATACTCCGAAAGAGTTACTTGCACACCAAGGCATTTACCTGTAAGCATAAACAAATGTGCTAGGCATTAAAAAGAGTACAAACTAGTCCATTGCTGTGTATTTTATGACATTCATTGGAGCTTTTGCCGTTACTGTATTCATACTACAAAGTTCTATACTGTACAGAACTCAGACTCCATCGTTGTGCTCTCAGAGCTCCATTTGGTTGTACAATGCCTGAGTAACAAACATGCGTCAGCCCGGCACTGTTGGCAGCATTCTTGTCTCAAGAGTCAGAAAGTTGTGGGTTCAAGCCCCACTTTTGAACTTGGAACTCATATAGTCCAAGCTGACTCCATCGCAGTGCTGCAATGTCAGAGGTGCCGTCCTTTGGTTGAGAGGTTAAATGGTGACCCAATCTCCATCTTCAGGTGAACAGGTTCTCGGTTTAACATCTCAACCAAAGAACACCACTTACAATCCCTGGCACTATTCAAAAAGAGAAGGGAGTTTCTCCCACTGTCCTGGCTAACAATCCCCCAAATAAAATTTATCATTCACTTCGTGGCTGTTTGTGGGACACTGCTATCTGCAAAATGGCTGCAGCATTCACTCACAAAGAATAGTTACTGCACTTTACAATATATCCTGTGACGCGCCTAGGGACATCTTTCCTACATGAAAAGTGCAACATCAATTTTTTAAAAAATTAAATTGACTACCAACATGCACAGTATTAGCACAACAAAATTCACTTAGATACACCAGACAGAGTGGAATACCATCAAAGTTTAACCATATTGTTAATTTCATTACAGTGCTTTGTCAATGTCCATTTTAATATTATGTAACAAAACACTTCCAGTTTACTGCACTTGGTTCTGCAGGATTTCTATATCTGCTCAACTTCTCTGTCAGTGATCAGTAAAGTCATGGATTTGTAAAGAAAAGCTCGAGTGCAAAAGCACTTCACAGAATATACCGTAAAGTGAATTGACTGTATATTTTGTAAGCGAATGCTCTCTGACCTTAGTTTAAAGTGGGTCCTGGAACTCAATATTGTGGTTTATAAATTTGCCCCACTGACACAACAATGGGAACAATTTTCATTTATCTTTCACATCGGGAGGATGTGTCAGGAGTGGAGTGGAAAGGTGACTGAAAGTACGGTCAATGAAATGGGCCTTAAGGTGGGTTTTAGAAATGGGGAGGGAGGCACTCTGGATGGAGTTCCAGAGACAGGAGTGGGTGGGGAGGGGGTAAAGAGTGGCTGAACACTTGCTCACCAATGGTGAAACAAAGGACCTGAAGCAAGCCTGAATTGGCAGAGCAGAGGGGGTGGAGGGTGAAAAACAGAACCCCAGAAGATCACAGAGATATGGTACAGCAAGGGTGAAGGCATTTATAGGCAAGAACAAGGGCTGTCATTAACCAAGGCCACCATAATTAGCTTAGTTTCAGATTCCTTTTCTACCAATGAAAGCAAAACATTTGATTTGAAAGCACGTTTGCAACACTGGTGTCAAATCCTTGTGTGTTCTCCATCTACTTGAGCAAATTAATTCACCTCACCACAGATGCTGCCTTGCATCTGTTTCACCTGGACAAACGCAGTTTGACAAATTAATTTTCCAGCAGGGTAGTTTGCATCCTAAAGCTGTCGTACAGATTGTCAACAGCTTGTTCTAAAAAGAAATTCAGCAGCATAGAAATGAACAGGAGTGAAAATCTGCATGGTGATCAGATTTGTTCTAATTCAATCTCATCCTGTGTGGAAGAGTGTACAAATTGGCTGCCATGTTCGCCAACAAATACACTTTACAAATACACTGTCAGGTTCACTACACTTTACAGTAAAATCCTGTGAAAGGCTATGAGACATCTAGATGATGTGATAAGGCACAAAATTATATGCAATGATTATAAAAGGTTGCATTCTGTTTGAATCAAAGAATGTTACAGGGAAGAAACAGGCCATTCTGACCCTCAGGTCTTTTCTCTACATGAGTTAATCTAATCCTAATACTCCTGCTCACTCCCTACAACCCTTTAATATTGTTCATCCTCTCTGCATCTGCGTCTGTTGTTGCCACTTTTGCAGACTGACTTTTGACTATTCCAAACCTACCACTGATATAATGGCAAAATATAAAATCTTATGCCCTCTACCAAAGTAACTGTGCAACTTCTGTTTAAAAAGCAGTGTACAATTTCACATGAAAGCTAAGCTTTTCCTTTATAAATCTCTCATCATACACATTGTATCCAGATGTATGGTATCCATATATATTGGACCTAAATTGTATCCATATATGTGTGCTTATCAAGATGACTGTTGTCAGTGGTGGGATGGCAATGTGTTACTACGTTTTGCATGTGTCAGCAACACACACTCGTGATTAGAAATGGAGCAGGCACGAGATATAGAAGGAAACTCCCTCTTTTCTGCTAACAATAGGCACAAAATTCCATCCACTCACATGGCATGTGGTCCCTTGAGATGGTAGAGAATTGTGGAAAATTCTTAAATCCAGTCTGGAGTTGGAAGACAGTACTTTTTCAGATCCAAGGGAAAAACGGCTTTTCAATTAAAATTGAAATTTTAAGAATTTTCCACATTGCTGCACGTTCTTAAGTTTTAAGATAAAAAGAGCTTGTAAGCTAAAGATTAAAGGTGCAATTTCAGACCTAATAGGCCTTAACCCAGAGAAGCATTTCTCTCTTGCAATATTCTGCCCTGCTCTCAGGAACTCCATTCTGAGTGTCTCCTCCTTGTCCCTTCCCCCAACTTCAAAGCCCACCTTAAGACCTCTATTTTCAGCCACAATTTAGGTCATCTTTCTTTCCCCCCACCCCTCACCCCCACCCAGCACAGTTCCCAGCTGACACTGTGAACGGGTTTGTGATGTCCAACCTAATGTGAAAGGCACTGTATAAAAGTAAAATTGTTGTTGTTGAAATAAGCCATCTTGAGCGAGATTGCATATTTTGAAATTATGGACAGATACTCCTGCTGTATACCCATATTCTATACTAGATTTTGACTTCCCAAACTCTCAGCAGCACCCTAACTTGGACCCATTTGTTTCAGCGCAGAACTGCATTTTATACACAATAATCAGTAATTTAGTTACATAGTGTGATACCGCATAGAAATAGGCCATTTGGCTCAACTGGTCTGTGCCAGACACTAGCCCCATCCATGCTATTATCTTCAATTATGCTCTCCATTCCCTTCTCTTCATTTACGCATCAAATTCTCTGTTATGTTCTCACTGCCCTCTGCGGAAGGAAGCCAGTGGTTAGATTTCTTTCAAAATGCCTGGATGAAATTATTTTTCTCTTTTTGTTACGATTTACGCAACACATGAGCAAATAGCAATAATGAAACAAAAAGGGTCCTACTAGATTTTATATATATATATAATATACACACACTCTTGCATTCTTATTGTATGGATTATAATTAAATAAACCATGTCTAATAAATAAACAATTTAACTAAAGAGAGTTAAAATTCTTCTGTTCAATTTGCGTTTAGAAGAGCTTGTGCGAGATGCAGAACTGTAAATAACCCCCTTGAATCTCTGCCCCCCCCACCCCACCCCCCATGACTTGCTCATCAAAGGCTATGAAGGCTCTGTATCCTTGGAAACAGAGCTTGTGACCTTTGCTGCGATACATAGCCAGGGTCATTTTAATCTTGAAGTATTGTGCCTCATTTGTGAAATGTTACCACTTCAGGATTTCTGTTCTAAAATAGCGATTAAAAACAGGTCAATATATAAAATATTACTTGCATTTGATATAGCGCCTTATCATATTGTTGAGATATCTCAAATCGCTTCATAGAATATACTGTAAAGTGAATTGACTGTGTATTTTTGGGGCGAAATGGAGCCCAGCTATCATTCTGTTGGTTGCGATTAACCCCCCCCCCACCCACCCTGACCTCTGGCTTCAATCCCTCCCATCATAAAACGCTTCTGCCGTCAATGAATAAATATGTCAAAGGACATGTAACCTACAGGCGCATAGGAAATCATTTGTGCTGATTTTTCAATGTTCTGTGTGAACAGATATTAAAAGTTACAAAGCACTATCATACTCAAGTAATTGTTGCAATGAGTGCAGAGGAACAATGGGCCATTATAACAACATCAGCTTTCAATATACAAGTCATCTACATATTGAAAAATCATGACAGGAAGAGATAAAAGGGTTAATGTTTAAAATAATCCCTGCTTTTTTTAAAAAAAAACAGTGCCTTTAAATGTCAAAACATGTTAATTGCTGCTGAGTGTAGTGACTGTTTTGTAAGCAAACACGGCGGTTAATTTACACGCAACAATAGGGCACAAACATTTCTGAAGTGAACGATCAATTTATCTGGAGGATTGTTGGGCAGGACATCAGCAGAGAAACTCCCTTCCTTTTCTGAATGGCATCATGGAAATTTTAATGTCGACCTGAACAAGGCTCTCGGGTTAATGTGTCGTCACAAAGGACGACGCAGCCAACAGAGCAGAGCTCCTCCAGGACTCTATTGGATATCAGGTCAAAGTCCAGTCACAAGTGTTTCACCCACAACCTTCTGAACAAGAGATGAGAGTGCTACCAACTGAGCCAAGCTGAGATCTGATGTACTGTTTGGCTGGTGATTAAGATTTCTAGACATATTTATTCTGTGGCAGGGGAAACGTTTTATGATGGAGTGGGGTATGGGATGAAATGGCAACCAAAGACCCCAGAATGATGGCTGGGCTCCTTTATCGTGTCCATCCTCACCACTGATAACAGCACTTTTGAGGTGAAATTGACCGCCAGGGTCTCCTGCCTGACCCATGGAAAAGTGAAATCATCCCAAATAAACAGCAGTTACAGGAACCTGGAGTGGATGATTTATAAACTGGTTAAATGGCACTTCTAAGTAGGAGCCTGGTTTTAGTCAATTAGTGGATCACTTTTTAATTCCTTAAAAACAATATATATATATATATCATTTGGTCACTCAATCCATGACTGTTTGTGGGATACTGCTGGGCGCAATTGGCTGCT